TAATCTATATATACAGATTACAATACTAGCAACTGGCTCTCCACTCTCTTCTCCTCAGCCTTCCTCCATCCTTACAAAATGCCCACTTCTTTATCCAGAGGCTTGCAATCAGTTCGACTGTATAAATAACAGTAATAGAGTATCTTATCTTACACTGTTCACTATTAGAAAACCAGATCCCTTTTTCCTAGCTCTCTAATATCTAATGCTGTTTTTGCAATTGCCCATACTTCCTGGCATAGGTGGCAGTACTCTGAAAAATAAAAAAAGCAATACTTATGACTACAAATGCAACAATGAAGGGTATTACCTGCCAATCTGCCTCTACACTGACAGTAAAGGCAATTCCTAAGGCCTCCAGTACAATATTGAGGCAATCATTTTTTAGAGGTAGACAGATGTATCCCTATTATAATTTACATATGTCTATTTGTAATAGCCAAAAGCAGAAGGGATAGTACAGATAAATATTAAAACTATAGACAAATTATAGATAAATTTTAAAATTATAGATAAATTATAAATTTTAAAATTAAAAATATAGACAATGCATATTTACAGCTAGGTTTCTTTATAAAACATATACAAAATAAAATGGATATTTAATGTCTTACTTTTAATTAGGTTTCAATCTCCTCACAATATCAAGTTAAAGTTTTAAGTGTATTCATTAGAAGTTAACCTTCTAAAAAAAAAGAAGTTAACCTTCTGAGAGTACAATACTATGCTGTTAGAACTATATAAGATGGGCTTCATTCATTCATTCATTCATTCATTCAACAAGCATCTCTAAGCACATACTAGGCTATATGTAATACTTGTCCTTCTGGGCCAGGGGCTTTTAAGGTTTTGGATCAAGCCATCTTCAGTTCCTAGAAGTCTGTACTTGACCACTGTACCATTTTGGGGCTTTAAGATAGCATGTCGTTCCCACCACTGACTATAAGTGATAAAATGGCCAGAAGATTCTGTTTGTAAAATAATTTTGTTTGGTAGATGAGGAAAAGCCAGTTTAGTATATTATGTTAATCTCTAAAATTCAAATTGAAAATGTGCAAAAGAATTTAGTCAAGCAAAAAGAGCAAATGTATAATAAAATTGGCAAAGACTATTAAGCTCAGTACGTAATCATCAGTATTTTTTAATTTAAATATATCTGTACCTTAAATAGAATGTCTAAGTTCCTAGCTCCATTTAGAATAAAATGATTTATTATAATATTACTGCCTTCCTGTTCATGTTCATCTTGTATATTATCTTCCTAATTATGTTTCTTTCCTGATCAGAAACCTATGACAATTCCTCAAAAATCAAATTCAGTGCAAATTCCTCATCCTTACGTCAGCACACTCATTATGGCCCACCTTCCCAGTCTTTCAGTCTCTCCTGACTATTTCACTAACAGCCTAAGCTCCAGACAAACCTGTTCTTCACACTATTTGTTCACTGCCAACAGGTCCTTTGTACAGGACAAGAAACTATTCTCTGTGCTGTTCTAAGAACTTTAACCTTTGTTATCCTTATACCAAGTTTACAGTGAGGAAAGTGAAGCAAGGATAAGTTACTTGATCAACGATACACAGCCAGCAAGCAACTAAGCAGGGATTCAAACCCATCCATGCTCTGAACTACTATGCCAGACAAGATAAATAGCAATTCTCCGACACGGGCCCAAATATGTTTATCCATGTGATGTGGATAGCCTATAAATGTATTTTAGTGTTCAATTTCATAGATACTTTAAGTATTTAAACAAAAAAAAACTAGTAATTTAAAACTAAACTGTGTGCCTAACCTGCAGGATTATTCTCTATGAGGATACTTTACATATTAAATCAAAGACGGTTGCTCTGGTATTGTATTGCACTGTGAGGTTTCTTAGTAGAATGCTATTTTGGGTACATCGTAAAGACAAAGGGAACTACCAAATAACATAATTAAAAAGCATTTTAAGAAATAGCAAGATGTTCCCACAAAAAAATGTTACAATAATGGTATCTTCATGCTTAATGTTTACAGGGCTCTGTTAAAATTTATTTTACCTAAAATGAAATGACTCTTACTTAAAGACCAAAACAGATTCCAAGATTTCCTCAATTTGTATGACTACCAATTAAAAGACTTCCTTTGTATCTTTTTCTCATGATCACTCTACCTGTCATACATATTCTCCCTCACTTGAAACAAAGTTGTCCTTATGCCATTCATTTTTCTAAATAAGTTCAAGTACTTTCTAATATTAAGTTGAACCACATAATATTACCCTTTTCAACCACTCTTACTAAGTGATGGATACTTCACACGCTTTGATCCAGTAACATTCCCCAATCTGACATATCAAAAAGAATAGACATACTTAACAAAGTTATGACTGTTCCACACTGGAATAGTTTCCTGGTGGCACACAAGAGAACAACAAACAGCTTACACCGTCTTCAGACTCAATAGGAAAGAAATTAAAAATAAAAAATCATTCTCATGAGAAAACATTCACAATATATTAAGTGAAAATGACTGTTGCAAAACAGTATGATACCAACTCCACTTACACATAAAAATACCAAATATTAAAATTCTGTTTCAGACTTCAGGATTTTTATTCTCTTCATTTGGCAGTTCTGTTTTTCTACTTTTCTCATTAAAATGTAGTGTTTCTGTGATTTGTAAAAACAGTTCAGAAAAAAAGTCACTCTTTCCTTATTCTTTACCAAAAGGATACTTAATATATCAATGAAATATATGTACAATCTAAAGCAACTATAAAAATTTTATAGCCTACATCTTTTTGTTGACTCGGTAACAGAGTCCATGAGAAATAACACAGTAACTTAATAAATTATTTCTAGGGATCCCCGGGTGGCGAGCAGTTTGGCGCCTGCCTTTGACCCAGGGCACGATCCTGGAGACCCGGGATCGAATCCCACGTCGGGCTCCCGGTGCATGGAGCCTGCTTCTCCCTCTGCCTGTGTCTCTGCCTGTGTGTGTGTGTGTGTGTGTGTGTGTGTGTGTGTGTGTGTGACTATCATAAATAAATAAAAATGTAAAAAAAATAAAAAAATAAAAAATAAAATAAATTATTTCTAATAACATTGATCATTTTCTTTGTTGGTATGGACAAATAACTTTACCCCCCACACCAGGTAAATAAGTCTAATTAATAGTTGGGCGTGGTTTCATCATTATTATAAAGTGGTAATTTATGCTGCTAAAAAATAAAGACCAGACCAAAAAGTTAAGACATAAGGTATCAATATGGGGTAGAGAAATGGAAGATTAAGAATCAGAAATAATCTGGGACACCTAGGTGGCTCAGCAGTTGAGTGACTGCCTCCGGGGGTTCTGGGATCGAGTCCCGCATTGGGCTCCCTGTGTGGAGCCTGCCTCTCCCTCTGCCTAAGTCTCTGCCTCTCTCCTGTCTCTCTCATGAATAAATAAATAAAATCTTAAAAAAAAAAAAGAATCAGAAATAATCTTAAAAAATAAAGGATGAACAAAAAAAATGCTATATTCCCTCTTCTACATGGGAAAAAACTTTAGAACAAAATATATGTTTTGATACTTAAATGGACAAATACAAATGTTATAATTATCTTCTGGGGTTATCTTATTTTTAAAATCCTGATAAATGGAATCCAGATGTGGTTAAACTCATTTTACCTGAATTCACTACTAACCTACATGAAATAAGCTTTACTAATAAGTACATATGTTCTGAGATTCTGCTGATTAACCAGCTAAGGAAGCAGTCTTACCCAGACTGGGTTCTTATATTTATAAACCAAGTACTCTACAAACTATGGGGGGAACGTTTGCTTTGAACAAATAGACCATAAGGTAAACAGCTCAATTAGTCCACTGTGGTTTACTGCCCTCTGGCTGTTGTGGCAAGGGATATCACAGATATAAAATGGCTGCAAAGGAAAGCTAGGAAGGTATCAAGCAAAAGTTGAAAGGAAATCCTTTAGGCAAATTCACACACCTTAGAACAGACCCTCAAATATGAAAGTTAGTTTTCCTCCTTCCTTTAAAAAAAATATTAAATATATCAACTAACAAAACATTTCAAACACTATCTGAACTTTTTCAGCCACAAACTAATAAAATATAGAGTAGTTTGGACATAATAAAAATTGGCTCTAGGAGACAGACAGCAAAGAGTTAATGCACCACCCTAAGTAAAGATTGTAATTATTTTTGATTTAGAAAAATTCTTAGCATACTAGATGGAAAGAAGTGAAAAATTCTGACCAGACAGCCAAAGAATATTCATAAAATTTCCTCTTGTTATAAATCTGTAGTAAATATAAAAAGTAGCTTAGAATTATGAAATCTTACATTAATTCAAAGTTTCCAGATATCAGATGTAATCTGTAGTTAAAAATTAGGTAACACTGGAGCAAGTATCTCCTGGAATCACCTAATTATATAAAAAACAGGAACAAAACAAAGGAAAACTTGCCGTATCAAAATTAGACCAGATTTTTTATATTAATCTTTCTTCAAAATACTATCCAATGTCATCTCATAATTTTGTCCAATAACGCTTACACAAATTTTGTTATCACTTTATAATTTTCCACCAGAGTTCAGCTGGTAATGAACCAAAACAGCCACAGTTCAAGAAAAAACAATTCTGTTCATTTCATTGACTTATTACTCACAATGCGCTATCATTTTAAAACAGTAGATCTTGCCTTATTTCCACCCCAAAACACCCAGGAGGCACAGTATTTCCTTTAGTAACAGTGGTTCACAGATTCTGGTTCCTAGCATGACTGGAAAAGAACAAGACAGTTTGGGGGGAAAAATATGGGAGTAGAAAGAAGAGAATAAGAGTGAGGATGTTCCTTTTGAGACACCCATTGAACACTTGGATTTTTCTCAGCAAGTCTTAATAAATTCTTTTTGAAATTTACTATTATTTATATATATATATTACAAATTAATATAAATATATATATATGACACTAACAGTTTTTAAGAAAAAACAAAACACTTACCCTGAAGTTCATGATGTATTACACCCACTAGGTTGGGTTCGTCACCCCACCAGAATATCCATAACTCTTTGCAATCTGGTTTGACATCTCGACGCCATACACACAGCAAGTTGGCTTGCAGACAGCGGATGAAACTTAACAGGATTGGATCATCTTGGGCTGGGGCTGAAATTATGGGTCCACAGTCCCCATGCCCTCCAAAATTGTACCTACGCCATTTGATTCCTGTGAGTTCAGCCTGGAAAAAAACAAGAAAATTACAATGGTTTTGATATTTCTTCTTATAGAACACAAAAAACAAGCTTCCATACAGATAAGCAAATTTGCAATATTTACATTACTGCACATAAGATTTCTCTCACTGAAAAATATTTGTCAATCTTTCTTGATTTTTTTTTAAAGATTTTATTTATTTATTCATGAGAGACACAGAGAGGGGAAGGGGGGGGCGGTGCAGAGACACAGGCAGAGGGAAAAGCAGGCTCCATGCAAGGAGCCGGACATGGGACTCGATCCCAGGTCTCCAGGATCAGGCTCTGGGCCGAAGGCAGCCCTAAACCACTGAGCCACCCGGGCTGCCCTCTTCCTTGATTTTTAAAGGGAGAAAAAACTCATTTCTTTCTATTAAGATTTCTACATAGCTCTTTATATTAAACACCAAATTACAACAGATGATTATTTCCAGTTGAACTATTTTTACCAAAAATTTACTATCAAGTCCATCATATAAAACTATTTGCTGTTCATCCTTATTTGATTCATAAATTGTATTTAGAAATCAGGTAAGAGTTTAAAAAATAAGTTTGTAAAAGTGAAAGCACTTCTTTCAAAGGATCTCAATTTCTTCCCATGCAGAAGCTACAATTTGAATCCTCTTTAATCAGGAAAGTGGTGAGCACACAGCCTCATAGTGTTTCATTATTAACACCAAAGCAAGCTACTAATGAAACTGACACAAGTTATCAGCAATTTCTGCATGTTCTTTAGCATGTAACACACAGAAAAGCTTTGCTTCTAGAACAATTCCCTAATGTAGTTTTGTCTTGTTTTCTAAATACATTTTAAGGCATAGATACTAGAGACGCCTGGGTGGCTCAGCGGTTGAGCAACTTCCATTGGCCCAGGGAGTGATCCTGGAGTCCCGGGATTGAGTCCCATATCAGGCTCCCCGCATGGAGCCTGCTTCTCCCTCTGCCTATGTCTCTGCCTTTCTAGGTGTCTCTCATGAACAAATAAATATGATCTTTAAAAATAAAAAAATAAAATTAAACAAAGACACTAAACCAGCTGAGAGCAGAACCTGGATCTTCATTCTATTACCTACGTTTATATTTTAAATTTTCTTAAATCTTAGAGGTCTAAGGAACTAAAATTCAAAGGTGTTTCAACACAAAAGATGAATTCCTTATTTAAATAGCTATAAACTACAACTATGTATTCAAAAGTGACAATAAAATGGATTCATAACATAATTCTGGACAAAACAGTCCATGTGTCCCCTGGCACTGGATCCTTACTCATCTTCCCCTCCCCACCTCACCCAAGTCAATTTCTGTCAATAGTTGTTTAAATAACTGCCAACTTAATAGTATGGTATGACCCTGTACTAATATGCAGCCCTTTCTCAGCTTAGAGGAAACCATTATCATCTATTTCATCCCAAGTATAACCTGGGGCCAGCCTTCAGGTTTGAACACCAGCTCCATATTTACTAGCTATAAGTAGCAAGTACTTGGTAAGTTAACTTTTGTCCCTCTGTCACCTCACCACGAAAATGAGAATAACAGTATTTACAGAGTTGATTAAACAAGTACGTATTTAAAATACTTATAGTGATGCCTGGCACATGGCAAAAAATATAAGTGATACTGCTATCATTACTAGTAATGACAGTACATTTCTCTTTGTTCATACCCCTTTTGCATTTTTCTATCACACAAGTTCCTTTATTTCTTCAAACAAAAGTAATGTATATGTATGTCTGTGTTTTAAACAGAAAACCTACCTTCAATTTTTAAATAAATGTCAAAGAAACTAAATAAAAAGACTAAAAAGGGGCAGTTGAAATCAGAAAAGTAGAAGACTAATAACTTTGAAAGATATGAAAGATACCAATAAATATAAATTACTAATATTTACATTAACCATATTTGAAAGGTTAGAAAATTATGATCAGGAATTTAAACATCAGATGAGCCAGTCCCCAAGAAATCTATGCACAGCAATTTACTCACTAGAATACTTTTACCTGTAACATCCAGGATGGTTCAGCAAACAAAATATTTGGCTTTGATTCAGAAGAATGGTTTCCTAATCCTAGCACTAACTTCCTATCAGTGCTTCCCTGGTCTCAGTTTTGATAAAGGGAAGCCATGGCCATCTGCTCTATATTCTTTATGGAGTTGTTCTAGCAAGTGACAGAATTCAGAAGGGACATAACAAGCCTACAAACTTAATCACTTCATAACTAATTCAGTTGGAAAAACTGGAAAATGTCCAATTATTTTAAAACAATTTAGTTCCTTTACCTTAAAGCTAAAATTAAATATCATTATACCAGTCTTCACTGGAAAATTAACAATGAAACACCATTTAAGCCTAAAAGAGATAACTAAGCATAAAGTGAATGTTCAAAGACTTCACTTTTAACTTCGAATTATTGTTTGATAAGACCAAAGACAACGTAGTGATACCGAAATACTGTCCAAAAAAAAAAAAAAAAAAAGAAAGAAATCCCTATATTGGACATATATTCACTTAGACTAATATATGTCCTCATATACCATGATCATGTTCATAGTTAAGAAGCAATTCCACACAAACTTTTTTGTTTCCCCAAAGATTTTATTTATTTATTCATGAGAGACACAGGGAGAGGCAGAGACATAGGCAGAGGGAGAAGCAGGCTCCCTCGGGGAGCCCAATGTGGGACTCGATCCCAGGACCCCAGGATCACAACCTGGGCCAAAGACTGACACTCAACCACTGAGCCACCCGGGTGTCCCTCCACACAAACTTCTATGGACCAATTTCTGACAAAAGCATAGATCTTCCAAGACTTAAAATTCTTTAATTTCAAAATTATGAAGAAACTCTTTAAAGTATTTCTAGATGGAAGTTATCCCAAAATGCAGTTATTTCTCATTGCCAAAGACAATCCATAATTATATTTAAGTTTAAAATTACACTTAAATATAAAATCAGTTTTTAAAATATAAAATCAGAGGCACCTGAGTGGCTTGGTCAGTTAAGTGTCTGCCTTTGGCTCAGGTCATGATCCCAGGGCCCTGGGATGGAGCCCCACGTGGGGCTGTCTGCTCAGCAGGGAGTCTGCTTCTCCCTCTCTGCCTGCCTGCTCTGCCTACTTGTGCGCACACACGGTCTTTCTGTCAAATAAACAAAATCTAAAAAGAAATAAAATATAAAATCAAAAGGATGAAATTAAAATATACAAGGAATAAATCCAGCATGCACATATACATAGTAACAATCATATATAGAGAGATAGATATATGTAGTAACAACCACAATCATCACCTATTTGCAAACAGTATGTAATTTCTAACATTAAACAATATACCAAGATCTACACATATAATTTCTAATCTTCACAGACAGCTAAAGAAATTAGGACTCAGAAAGGTTAAATAATTCTCCCCTACCTACAAAGGCAGCAAATGGCAGATCCCAAATATAACTGGATTAAAAGCATAACTGCATTTAAAGCATAAATTCCTTCCCACTCTGCCATGCTGCTTCATAAGGCTAATGGTAAAAATTAGCCCTAGAGGATTATAAAATAGTACAAAGAAACTGTCATCAACTCAATTTAGCAATGGCAAGAGCTCATGGCCATACTTTCTAATTTAAGAAAGTTCATGAATCTTTCTTTAGTCTTCCTGAGGTATTAAGAAAACTAGTACAAGAGTGCCCACACACCATCCCATGAATAGAAGAGACTTTTTAAATTTCACTCAGATAATTATATGCCTTCTTTTACATATTACCACTATAACTATAAGACTATCTACACAAGCTAATTTTTAGAGGATATGTATAACAAACCAAGAAAAAAAAAAAACAATTCTAATAAAAGCAAGAAAGATTGCAGGATTGCAGGGAAATTTTCTCATCAATGGCTAGCATCTATTGTATAAGTAGTCAAGATCCTCAGAAAATTGAATTTGATTGGTAGAGACTCCCCTGGCCTAAAGAGAAGGCGGCTATAGCTCAGAACAATTGGAATTTAAAAGATTACAACAGAATCAGGATAAATACACTTTCTAACAGCAGGAATGTATTTAAAGAAAACTTATACTGATTCTTAAGGCACAATACATAGGAAATGGGCTGATAAATTCTCCCAATGGAAGTCATTTATTTGCACTGACCCATCACAATCAGAACCCACAAAACCAACAGTATATACCTGCATATATATATACTGTATATATACCTGCAGTGTGGCTCCTCAGAGTTAAAATTATATTTAGTGGTTATCAAACAGAGCAAAAGTAACAGGCCTTGATATGAATGAACTCAGGGTGTAGTACCATAGAAAGAACACTGGCTGGAGGGCAGAAGATCTAGGTTCAAGTCTCACTTTTTCAACTACTTATCTATATGTTATTAGGAAATCTACTCCATCTCAGGAATCATAGCTTCCTGACCTGTAAAGTGATATGGCTGACCTAGATATTATAAATGAGTTCAAGTCTCCTGGCCCAGGCTAATTACATCCCACTCACAAAGGCAACTTGTAAATGAGACTGAACTCTTAATTATATGCCTTAGAATTATCAGCAGGAATAGGAGAGCTGCCAGAAGATTTGGATTTTCAAGAAACAGGTAAACGAAAGACTTCTCAAACAAGAGAACTACCTTAATATCAATTCTGAGAAGGATTCTAGGAAGGTGTGCAGAAAAGACGGCTGTGATCATCAGGGACTAACCTAAGTGCACTAGGAAATTCCAAATCTGCCTCACCTCACAACCTCCTGTGATAGGGTTACTACGCTAATACAACAGGGAAATACAGCAAACATATTAAATCATCCCTCAACTTGAGTCACGGAAAGGAAAAAAGTCAGGGATAATAGAAAACTTCTGTTAAAACATAACTAATCAGCTCCAGGTAAAGACACCAGGGTAAACACACACATCTGCTTTTGCTGTGTCTTAAATCCCTCTAAAACATCAGTAAAGAAATTGTTTTGTTTTTCCCTTAAATCATAAAAC